TGCTCGTGGTTCAGTGGAGTAAAAAAAGGAATTAAATTAAATATTATAAATACCTGTTCATCATATCGATGCTTGAGACACCAATTTAGCCAACATAAAGCAACAATCGGTTGTCGATTATGTACCTGGAAACGATTGATACGTACTGGTAAAGTAAACTCTCATTCCTCATAAAGTCGTTTTGCATTACAGAAGTTGTTATACCAGAATGTCCGGATTTTTTTTTTGAAAAATACGCAAAGTACCAGAAATCTTATTTTGAAATTTCAGGTTCCAAAAGTGTAAGTTTATTCGGATGATGGACGTTTATCCAAATTTCCACGGTAGTAGGCATGCGCGTGGCAGCGCAAAAGTCACCGTAATCATCCCCAAGGGATTCAAATCTTATCCCTCCTTCTCTACGACACGAGACTGGTGCGGTGAACCCGGAACGCTGTATGGCTACAAGTCCCATACCCCACATATCTCAGTAATATACTCAAAGCTCAGCGACTAGAGACAAACTTACATTTTCTCGAATGAACTTCGAGCAGCGAACAACTAAACCGCTAGCCTGGAATCGTCGGGATAAGCGCATACACGTTTCCAGGGTATCATCTGAAAATAGTGAATGCATGAATTTCTCCAATTTTTTTTTGAATTCATGGTTGGAAGCTTTTCCATTCTACGACACGTGCCCTCGAGAATAAAAAGCAAGCGAGTCATTTGCTAGCTATCAAGAGCAATTATAATATTATGAGACAGTAGGAGGGATACGGCAGGGAGTTATAGAAGTTTCTTTGCAAACAACTACGGCTACTTCCCTTCATCACAGAGATATCGGCTTTTTCTCTAATGAAAGATTCGTTACAAAGAGAAACTCATAGCGGAGTTCACTAATTGTAACATTTACTTACCAGTAATATCTCTGAGTGCAGGGCAAGGAATGCAACTCTCGACGAACCATCGAAACTGCGTTGCCGGCGAAGGACTCGTCATACCAGATACGGCAACCTAGAAAGTTCATTCTAGTGAATTGTCAATTGCCGAGTCATTTCAATAGCATTGTGCTTCATTTTTCCGCTTTTTTCACTATCTACTGCTGAAAAGCTGAGTTTAAAGGGTACCCAATTTTTCAGCAATAGGGAATGAAAATTCAGTATGTGCAGTGGGTGGAGGTGGTGTAGTGGCATGTGGCGCACTATCACTCAGCATGGTCCGGGATCGAATCCTGGATCGATATTTGCCTAGGCTGACCAAGGCTTCCATCCATTTGTGGCAGCTTATTGTCTCAGACACGACCAAAGGGACAAAACCCTAACTTGTACATCTGCAGGCTAACGCACCTCGTTGTATACGCCACATACGCTTCAGCGACTTGTACGGTTTTTTTAAATATGGAGGCAGTATGCGCAGATGCATTCAAAAACGGAATTGTCTAACAGCAGAAGACTTTTACTTTTTATTTACTCGGATTCCTTTTTCCAGCCTTAACAGAACCCAATTTTTCAGCAACAGAAAATGAAAGTTTCTCAACATGTGGGAAAGCTTGACCTAGGCATGTTTACAAAGGGAAACTACCTATAATGTAAGGAACTGCAGAAGGTTCCCCCGAAGGTTATTGTTTCACTGTGAGATGAGCCGATACATTCGCCTAGATCTACGAACTAGCTCTCCGCGGAAACAATCGCTCAATCCAACTAGCAGTACTCTTCAATCAGCTGATCTCTGAGTTCAAGCTTCTATTACACATTTATGAATGAGTTGTTTGGAATCCAGCCGTTCGGCGAAACTGAAGGCTTGGAATTAGTCTGTTCTTACGGATCATTCGATCCCAGCACATAGAATAGTCTATTCCTCAATAACTTAAAAAGTTTGGGAGCCCGCCGCTCTGTCATCTTTCATAGATAAAATTCTTTTCGATTATAAAATTTTTTAAGGTTGATAGATCTAAATATGGCGATGTATAATGAATATAAACGGAATTTTCAAAAAGAATAGTTCGCCCACTTTTGAAAAACTCGCTTTTCTTGAACCTATCCGGTCGTAAGTCATAACTTATATGGAAAATGCAATGTGGACTAAAAGCTATTAATCAATGTAGGCAAGCGCATCCTAAAGTCAATTTCATGGCATAACTCATGGAGAGCTGGAAGTGGAGCCATAGGGAAAGTTAGAACCAAAGCGAATTTGCGAGCGAGCACATTAAAAAAGAAAAACAAAAATAAACTCACATGCACATCTTCGTTCCTTCTATGCGTTAAAAATAAATTCTTGAAGTACTCCGAAGCATGGCATAATTGATGTCGACATATCAAAAAGCGAGTGCTCTGAAATGAGGGTTTTGAGAACAATTTGAACCTTCATGTATTGACTTGAACTCAGGTAAGT